TCTGCTTTCGAATTCCAATTTAAGCATAAATGGGGGCATAAACATGCTGTCGTTGAAGGCGGCTCTTACCAGAGAGGCACTTATCATGCAAATCTACAACATAAATTTAGTTTACAAATGGCATCGCACAAAGATTGCTGCTACATCTCATTCTCTAGTCACAATAGATGTGAAAAAGATAACTAGTTAGTGAAATAGCTATAAATCACCTAGAAAACTGACAAAAAGTCCCACAAGTCGCTGCAGAGCTTTACTTTTTGACAGTACAGAGATCTTTACGCAGATATATCTTTTGGTTCAGTGACAGTTTTACTAGAATAAAGGATGGACAAGTATTAAAGTGTCTTGGGGTAGTTAAATATGAGCAGACATAGTTAAGAATTCTTTCTCCTCTGCCTCCCCCTAATTCCCACCAAATGTCAAACCTATTGTACACATGGAAAATGAGTCTAATTGCATGATGTTTTAGAGTAGAATCCAAGTTATCCTCACTTAGTCTTTGTAAAACAAGGAGATAAACTGTCATATAGTATTCTAGAAATGATCACTCTTTGCATTTGTAGGATTTTCTGAGTTGTGCTTTTTGGTATAACTTTTCAGTGAAATAGACATTAAATATTTTAAAGATTAGAGAAAACTGGACAATTTACTCACCCTTGCCTTCACAGGCAAAACATTAAGTGCTAAACTGTACATAATCAGTACTTAAAGCATCATTGGGGACTCACCAGAAAGATTATCATTTTTGAAAAAAGGAACACAAATAAGCAAAGACATGATTAACAACAAGAGGGTATCCCAGAACTACAAGAAATCTTTTTGCTTTTGTAAGATTTTATGGGTATAAATTGAATAGCCAGAGTTAACTTTTGTTTGTTAATTGATAATATGGTACACAGAAATTCCTAAAATTAAAGTCAAAATTAAATTTTTATGTATATTTAATATTTTATTCTTAATTTATATTGACATAGATATTCCTATTATTTTAGTGTTGAATGCAATAAAAGAATTTGGAAAGCTTATTTAAACATTTGCTGTATGGTCAGTTCATCCTCCTCATTTTATATATAAAGAAATGAATAAAGCTTATATAGCAAAGGGTAAGAAATTGTGATTTATTTAGGCAGCAATATGCACTACTGTAAATAACAGAAGGGATATTTTTTCAATGTTACTTTGTCCCTAACAAGTATTTGGATATTAATTTGAATAGAAGTTCTTTAATTTTATAAACTATCACAAAATGCCTATTTTTAAAAAATGAAATCTACTAGGCTTGACATTGTGAAATTCTTTGCTCAGGTGAAAAAATAAGCAAGTGTCAACAGCTTGATTTACAGATTTTTGGAATTTTTCTGATTCTACATATATAAATATCTCTTGTGCTTTCTTATTAGGAAAATAAAACGACTAAAATGAAAAAGAACATGAGTGATTGCACAAGTGTTTTTACTTGGTTTTCTAAACTTGCAAGGAATACAAGCTGTAGTCATTTAAAAATAATCTAAAAAGGAAAGTATCTCAATTAGTGATGTTAAGCTACAAAGGTTAAATATAACAGGTGTATGGAATGGGATTCAGAATGAGTCACATTAAAGTGGTAGTTATAATTTTCAAAGGTTATTAAACACTACACTTATTTTTTTCTTTTGGCAGTAACAGCCATTAGAGTTTCATTTCATTAGCTGTAATATGTTTGTAAGCATAAATAAAAAAGTTTTACTAAGGTGTAGTAACTAATTGTTTTGAAGTAAAACACAATGTACTTGAAATTGATTTCTAATATTGTAACAAAACATAGTGCCACCCAAAGAAGGGAGGGGAAGAAAAGAAGGGGAAAGGGATTCAAAGTGAAAGAGGTAAAGACAAAAATTAAAATACAGCTTCTGAGAATAGGGGGGAGACGAGCTGGTGGGAGCAGGGAGAGGGGGCGGGGAGAAGACAATAAAAAGAATTGAATGTGTTATGTAGATGTACAAGCTCCCCATGATGAACATGATAGTTATAGTTGGAAACATGTACTAACAAAAAATAAATGAGAAAATATAAAGTTGAAAACACAGGAGAAATGCAAGCAACAAGAATTAATGCTAAAATCCAGTACTCTTCAGTGAGGCTCTTATTTTGCTGCAAAGCTAAGCACTCACCCGGGCAGTTAATTTCTTCATGGACTCTGGCGTTTTGCTCCTTATAAGCTGAAGCTGTCAACTGTGATATTTTTCAGTGGAAGCACCGCTTGGAATTCGCATGCTTTGCTAGGCTCACTGAGCTGGGAGCACAGCAAACAGTATCTCACCTTTGGTGTCAAGGGGCTCTTAAATTACTTCTTTCAAGTATTAGTTACTACACAGTACCCTTCTTTTCTCCAAACTTCTCATCCCCAAAGAATTTTATATATTTTTTTCCAAATTGTATTTATGTAAAAAAGCAAAATGAAGGGAATAGGGTACCTGAGTGGTGATGTGCACATGTAGAATGGCTAAGTCATGGGCTCAGTGCCCAGCAGGAAAAAGAAGGAAGAAAGAAAGGAAAAAAGAAAGAGAGAGAGAGAGAGAGAGAGAGAGAGAGAGAGAGAGAGAGAAGGAAGGAAAGGAAAAAAGAAGAAAGAAAGAAAGAGAAAGAGAGAAAGAGAAAGAAAGGTAACATGGACAGACTACCTTCATTCTATAAAAAAGCAGATAATATTTTCTTCAGCAAGTTGCTGATGTCAGCAAAATAGAGGCTTTAAAAAAATATACCACTCTCTCTCTCTCCCTGGGTTCTTTTTTCATACTATTCTGCTCCCAAATTCTGGAAAGTACTTTCCCTTTTCCCCTGTGGCTTATTGCCATATCTCGACGTCAGGCTACTTATGCTGTACTTCTGAGACCACGCACTTCCAAACACAGCTCTGTGCCACACCACCTAGAGAAACCCCCTTCCAATGTTGTCTTTTCCAAAGTGAGGAGAAAGAAAAGAAGAAGAGGACTGAGGAGGAGGAAGAAGGGAAAAGGAGGGGGAGGAAGTTGCTGAAAGAGAAGGGGTGAGAAGGAAAAGGAGGAGGAAACGGTGGAGGAAAAAGAGAAGAAGAAGGGAAAATTCTTTGAACTTTGAACTGTATCGCCATGCATCTTGGTACTATGGAAGGAAGAGTGCTGCATGAATCTCACAGTGGTAGGAAGGAAGGAGGAAGACAACAAGAAGAATTAAAATGTGTCATGCTTAGCTCACTCCAGGAAGCTGTGAAATTCTTACAAGACTGAAGATGTTTTCAAGCTTCACAGCTGACCTAGCAAGAGCTTTCTTTCTAGTATTCTTTCCCATAAACAAAATAACCTGGTTCCAACAACGTGTAATATCTCTTCATTTGGCTTTTTAGTTCATCTTTCTCAGAAAGACCTAAACTCCTTTTTAAAAACTTCTCTGTCGTGGGCTGGGGATTTAGCTCAGCGGTTCGGTGGCCTGCCTTGCAAGCGCAAGGACCCGAATTCGATCCCTGGTGCCAAAAAAAAAAAAAAACAACCTTCTCTGTTGAGATTTTGAGGAAGGCACAGAACACCTGTGCACCAATTCCTAGCGGAAGAGGAAGCTGACCATCCCAGTAAGACATAGCACCCGGTCTACCCAGCATTCTGACCTTACCTGTTTCTCAGGCCAGCTGGGCTTTTGGCTATTTTTCTTCCCTGCAGCTTTCATGTATATGAGGCACACAGAGTCATTGATCAGGAAGTCTTTTTCAATTTGTATACTAGAGAAGTCTCATTCATTTAGCATTATGTGTTTTGCTGCTTTTTAAGTTACCTACAATGAAAATTGCTCTTTTGTCTTTTGGGCTAGAACTCCCTTTGTATAATAGATTGCTTTGTCAATAAGAAACCTGCCCCCTCAATGGCTTTTTTTGTTTGTTTGTTTGTTTGTTTTTTGTTTTTGGATATCAGGGATTGAAACTGGGGACTTTGTGCTTGCCGGGCAGGTGGTGGAACCACTGAGATAAATCCTCCACCCAAGAAACCTATTTTGAGGTTGGTTCAAAGTGAAGGTCTCTCTTTACAGATTTTGGGATCTGAAAGTCTACCTGACTAGGTAGAGGAAATCTATTAATTTTCATGAGGCACAGATAAAAGTAAAGAATTCAACTAGGGTTTTAGGTTTATTCTATGACTAAACTGAAATTTTTCATCTTAAAGCTTTAAGGTTTCACAGTAATGTTTGAGGAGTCACAGAAAATTCCCCAGCTTCATAAACTGGCTTCATAAACCCTATTTCAATGTCAGATGCCTATAACCAGTGAATTAATTCTAGGCAAGACATCACAGCCACTTACAGCTCCGCCTCATCAATAGGGCACTACTGCTTTAATATGCAAGTAAAAGAAATTGCAACAGTAACTTTGAACTGTGTCTCCGTGCATCTTGGCCCTATGGAAGGAAGAATGCTGCGTAGATCTCACAAGTGGCAGAAGGAGCACATGGCCAGAGGGGCTTTTATTCACACTGGAAAGGCAGTCACATATGTGCCCAGGGGAAATCTAATCTAAATCGTAAACTGGATGCTTTGACCTGGTTGTACTGAACTGAATTAAAAGGGAATTCGTCTTCCTGGGTCTCTTGCTAGTTTTTTTTTGACCCAAATTAATGAGAATAGCAGAGTAGGTCCACAAACAAAATCTAGGCTTCAGTGAAAACATAGTTACAGACATGTATAGATGTTTTTTCCGTGATTTAAAGTTAAGAAAACTGCAACTATGAATGTTTCAGTCTAAGTCTCCTGGTTGAGAACCTGGGCTCCACCCAGGGCGAAGTGGCAGATTCAGTCTCCTCTAACTCACATACTTCCAAATATCAATCTTGGGGGCATCCAAAATATTTGACAAAATCACATGTCAACTTATTTAAAGCTGACTTCACAGCTATCATAGTAACATCTCTATCTGGCACTGTTTAACTGTTCCTAATGTATACAGTTTTGGCACAGCACTACACAACTATTGTGATTATTTTTATAAAAAATTAACTTTTGTGCTTGCTTCAGCAGCACATATACTAAAATCGGAACACTACAGAGATTAGCATGGTCCCTGTGCAAGGATGCCACTCAAATTAGTGAAGCATTGCAAATGCTTTTGAAAATTAATTTTTTGTGCCTGGCATGGTGGCACATACCTGTAATCCCAACACTTGGGAGGCTGAGGCAGGAGGATCACTGTAAGTTTGAGACCAGCCTGGGCTACATAGGAAGTTCCAGGTCAGTCTCAACTATGTAGTGAGACCCTGTCTCAAAAAGCAACAACAAAAAGTTAACTTTTTGTAACAGACAAAACTATATATTTATGCTCTACAACATGATGTTTTGATATATGTATTCATTGTGAAATGGATAAATTCAACTAATCGCCTCAAATGTCCATCATTACTTGTGTTTATGTGCATATCTGATATTGCAAAGACAGGGTGTTCAAAACCAGTGAGGGGGCAGGTTTCTTATTGACAAAGCAATCTATTATACAAAGGGAGTTCTAGCCCAAAAGACAAAAGAGCAATTTTCATTGTAGGTAACTTAAAAAGCAGCAAAACACATAATGCTAAATGAATGAGACTTCTCTAGTATACAAATTGAAAAAGACTTCCTGATCAATGACTCTGTGTGCCTCATATACATGAAAGCTGCAGGGAAGAAAAATAGCCAAAAGCCCAGCTGGCCTGAGAAACAGGTAAGGTCAGAATGCTGGGTAGACCGGGTGCTATGTCTTACTGGGATGGTCAGCTTCCTCTTCCGCTAGGAATTGGTGCACAGGTGTTCTGTGCCTTCCTCAAAATCTCAACAGAGAAGGTTGTTTTTTTTTTTTTTTTTTTTTTTTTTTGGCACCAGGGATCGAATTCGGGTCCTTGCGCTTGCAAGGCAGGCCACCGAACTGCTGAGCTAAATCCCCGGCCCACCACAGAGAAGTTTTTAAAAAGGAGTTGAGTATTTTCTGTTTCATGTCTTGAGTGGTTTAATCAGTTGTATATCCTGTGCTTTGTAGAGTATGCATTGAGAACTATTACATATTAATTTTTTTTAGTTTTTTTTAGTTTTTATTTGAAAACTAAAAAAAATTGTTGCTACTAAAATTCTGCTTGGAACTTGTATTTTTCTTTTTGAATAAAATTATTGTTAGCTAATTTCAAGAGATTGGTTTTTGAATTATTTTATTCAGGAATTATAAAACAACATTTGCCTCAAAACCACTTATTTCTTTTAACATTTAATATTCTTTTTTTGGATGTATCACTGATTGGTTCGAAATTCACGTGCCCTTTCAAATGACTTCTTCGAAGAGACTTAAAACACGAATAATGGGAAGTGAATGAAGCGGAGAAGATTGTGAACTTTGAAGTATGAGGCAGCCCACCGGAAAGGCCCAGGAAGGAAGAAACATGGCGACAGACTATCACTCAGAAAAAAGTTGTTGGGGTGCAGTGACGGGGAGAAGGAAGGGCTAAGAATGATTGGCAGCACGGAAGAGATGAAGCTAAAGAGCAGTACAGGGTCTGATCCTACAGGGTCTTAGAACTACTGCAGAAATATTGGTCTTTATTCTAAGAGCAATGAGTTGCTACTCCGAAAAAAGGAAACTCTTGGCAAGCTGATTTACAATTCCAAAAGGTCACTCTAGATGAAGAATTAAATGGCATTGGAAAAGGCCAAATGAAATAGGATGGGAAGATTATTGAGGAAATTGTAGAGGGTGGCAGATAGTAGTCAGTGACTAGTCTATGGCAAAGAGTAGTGAATACATCGCTTCAGAGTCTCCAGTAGTTAGTGAGTTTGAATTTGGGGAAAAGCTGTGGTCATGAGTCTAGGTCTATGGTATCTGCAAAGAGGGAGACCTCCGCATCACATGTATCAGATGTTTTGCTTTCTGCCAGGCCAGGATTATCTGTTTGAGGCCATGCAGGACCCGTGTCTATGCATTTGCTACTGGTTTCTCTTCTTCTCCCATGTTTCTTCCATTTAATTCAATCTCCATCCCTGGTGAAGCATCAGCATTGGATCAGGTGAGAATCCTCTAGAGAAAGACCACTTCCGAGCACATTCTTTTCGAATCTTTTTATTTTCAAGTTGCTAAAACCAGTACTGTGTTTCTTTTATTTGTTTTCCTTAAATCAACTATCCAAAGCCAGAAGAATGTTCTTAGCACAGCAGAAACTAGAAAACCATATGTCAGTAGAGAAAGTGCTAAACCTCCATTCCAGTTTAATTTTGGGGAAAGCTTATTTTGTTTTGAGTTTCCCTTTGTCCAGTAGTCTTACACAATATTACTGCATATTAAATGGATCTTAAATTAGATTTAGGCTTAGATCTCTTTGTGAAGATTTGTATTTTTTTTGTTGCTCTTGTTGTTACTGGTACCCTTTTTTGTCATTTTTAGATAACGTTTATTTTCAAAACTACATTTAATTAGGGTTAAATGTAGCATTTTGGTTCATTAGTGATCAAATTTCCCATAGAAAGTTAAACATTTTAACTAGAAGCTCATCAAAACTAACAGTAAATTTACATTACTTGAAATAGTACATTTCAAGGGATTATTACAAATTGATAGTAGCCATACAAATGAAACTTCAAACTAATATTGTGTAAGTTCTATAAATTGTAACATCTCATAATTGGAGTAAAATAATACAAAAGCACCTTTGTGTGAAATGAGAAAAACTGTACTGGACAAAGTTATAGTTATTTTGTCTCAATGTGATGATTATTACTGAATTTTCACTCAAATTATGGAATCTTGTTATGTATTGAATAATCTATAACACTGAAAATATAATAATTAAAAATTTAAAAATCTATAGTAGTAGTATGAATAAAACAATGTGTGGACTGATTAAAGTCTGTATTTGCATTCTTACAAAAAATTGTGACGTACTAGTAAAGTGAAAATGATGAGTCTAAATGCCAACTGATATTCTTTAAAATCTCAAAAATTATCTTTCATTTCACCTAGCTATTCCTCTTCTAGGTATCTTCTTCATACAGTTAAAGACAGTCACATTACAGTGATACATGCATACCTATGTATATTGCAACACAACTCATAATAGCTGAATTTTAGAAGTGGCTTATATGTCCATTCACAGATAAATGGATAAAGAAAATGTGGTGTTTATACACAATGGAGTATTACTCTGCCATAGAGACAGACAAATGAGTCATTTGCAGGAAAATGAAAATATAAGATTGTAATATTAGGTAATATAAATCAGACAGACACACAAGATTAAAGATCATATGGCTTCTCTTATATGAGAAACCGAAATAAAAATAAAGAGCAAAAATAAAAATAGGTGATAAGACATAGATCTTTTGCAAATGGGAAAGGAGTCAAGAGATTGTGGAAGTAGGGAGGGAAGAGAGAAGGGGATAACAAAATAATTTAGATGTGTTATGTGAATGTACCAACTTGCCATGAATAATATAATTGTTACAAACTATAAAATTTTACTAATAAAAATAAAAGTTAAAAAAAAATTCAAGTATAGATAAATTCCATAAGTCACACAAATACATATACATATATGTATGTATGTATATATGT